TGTGGGTCGTTGTGGGTCGTTGTGGGGTCGTAGTGCGGTCGATGTGGGTCGTTGTGGATCGTTGTGGATCGTTGTGGGTCGTTGTGGGTCGTTGTGGGTCGTTGTGGGTCGTTCCATGTTTTAGTAACTACGTTTATTAGGTTTAAACACCGCGGAAAAACGTCTGCGCAAGGACCAAGTTATGAAAATATGGCGGGTAATTTGAATATCAATTTCTAAAACAAAAACATGCTTATTAATTGGTCAAAAATTAGTAAAACAAACGAGAAAATATAGCAAATGGGTAGACTAGACATTAATTGAAAGCGTCCTGGCATTTAAAGTATGGAATGAAATATAATTCATGTAAATTGTTGATTTTAACGGACACGACTTCGAAAATTTTTGCAAAATTATTCAAAACAAAAATTCAAACTAAAAAGTTAAGAAAACTCTCGAAAAGTTAAGCTTCTTAACCCACTCAAATTGTACAATAAATCCTAAAGTTTAATTATTGTGAACACGAAAATTTTTTATATTTGGCGACACAGTTTTTTTTAAAGAAATGTATCTCAAACGAAAATTGTCGTTGCTTAGTTGATAAACAAAATGTTTCAGACGATAAATTTGTCAACAATCACCTTTAGTTCATGTTCTTGTACAATACAACTTCTTGAACCTTCTGGTTGTATTTATTCCTAGTTTTTAGAATGACATGTTTATTTTCGCGCTCGAAATCTGGCTGTAAAGACGCACAATGAAGTCACTCCTTTTTACCGCCATTTTGAGCCTTCGGAAACGTTCGGAACAGCTTCTCATTTCTTCATTTCTTCTCATCAAGTTCGCAATACTATTACAGGTAAGGTTGACGCATGCGCAGACGTTTTTCCGCGGTGTTAATAAAACACGACCTGCGAGTTTATTAAACGGCTTCAAATACGACTACAAATTCAATAGACATACCGCCTTATTAGTATTTTTTATATAAAAAATACTAATGAGGACACGACAACAATAGATACTGCCTTATTAGTATTCTTTATATAAAGAATACTAATTAGGAGTGTTTTATCAGGTTTAAAGCCACTGCACGTGACATATTACGGTTGACATGATTTGCCAATAAGCTTATGAATTATTAATGAGTGTTTGAAAGGTTTATAAAGAATTTATATATAATGATGTGTATTTTTTCACAGTACTTAATTCTTGCACCAAAGACATGAGTGCTAAATATATATATAGCAAGGGTGGGTTGACTACAGAATTTTTGTAGTTCGCTATAACTACAACTACTTCAAAAATATGTAGTCAGCTACAACTACTGCTATACTTTTGAACAAAAGTAGTTATTTCGCTACTCTATATTTTTTAGTTTTACGGTATTTGGGCCCAGGCTGTAATTTAACCTATAACAAATCTACTTACGAGTACCAACAGTAAACAAAAAGGGTCAAAGCAACATTTTTGTAAGCACTATACAGTGTTCAAGAGTCAGTGGCACTTTTCAATGCGCTAAAATAATCTTTATTGTATAAAATAATCTTTTAAGCAAACCGTGTCTTAATATCATTCTATTCGACGAACGGTTGCTAACAATTTTAAAAAGTAGCGAATAGCGATTCGCTGTTTGAAAAGTAGTCAACTACTTGGCTACTTTTAGGCAAAATGTAGTTCGCTATAACTACGTACAACTACTGTTTCAAAAAAGTAGTCAAAAACTACTGGCTACTTGAAAATTGTAGTTCGCTACAGTAGCGAACTATACAACTACTTCGCTACTACCCACCCCTTAATTGATATATAGGCACATAATAACAATTTAACCAGAAGTCCCACTCTCACATATCAAAAAGCTGATTACACTTGTTTAGCGATCTGGAAACGAGTGCGTTGTATCAATTTGTCTGGCTTAGCCGCGCTCGTTTTAGATAGCTAAACCAGCTGTGTAATGCGAAGAGTGAAGTTCGGGTTAAATTATTATTCTATGATATAGGCCCTCTGGCAGAAACCGAACCCACGGCCCTGAGATTCCAGTGCAGCGCTCTATAATCAACTAAGCTACAGAGCAATGTGCAATGCACGTTTATTGACTTCCGCAACAAAGTTTATGAAAGTACAGTGGGTGTAATATTTTTTCAAATGATGCTGATAAATGAAATATTAATGAAACATCTAAAATGATGAACTATTATATATATATGAAACAGTGCATGCCGCAATTAAAAAATATGTGATATATCATGTCAATCATATCTGGATGTCAATAAAAAAGTACTATTGTACTATAGGCCAAGAGTCATCATTCTATTGTCATCATTCAAGGTAAACATGTACTTAATTACATATATAATTATCATGTAATGAAAAAAAACGAGTGTAAATAATGTATAGATGCAGGTATAATTGAGAAATCCGACGCCTCAAACAGATGAACGAAATAGAACGAAAATACGACGCAGAGAGATTCGCCTTATTAAAGAGGTGAAGAAGAGACATACTAGGTGAAAATGTACGATCAGACACCGGCTGATATATCGCTGCCAGCTCAAGTTAACAATACAGAAAACGTAGGGAGAGAGTGCCACATAATCCCCGACACTTCTCTATTGAAAAATATCGGACGTCGAATTTCCGACGCGATGAAGAAATCTTTAAAGGTAAGGTGCACGCGAAAATTCATAGTTGGTAGGCCGATCTACTCCGACGTTTAGGGGTGCACTCATTAAAATTTTAAGATCTTCTCTTGAAATGGGCTGAATATGAATGAATGACCTCACACTTAATGTGAGACATTGCATTTCTGAGGACTGATGAGCCAGACAGTGCAAGGAGGTGATTGCAGACTGATAACTATAGTGTGTTAAAAAATATGATTATAAAGACTAGCTTTATCAAGTTGTTGGTATATGAGCACAAATTAAATAACACAATTCTTATAGGAATTAAAATCTCAACTTCTAGATAAGCATTTAAAACAGGTTATATTGTACCACCAAAATTATCCACAATGTTTTTGATAGAGCTAGTGCCGGTAATGATGAAGCGGATTGTGAGCTGTCTCAAAAGGTGCATATAATGGCTTTGTGAGTCGCATTGCACAGTGTATAAGCCTCTTGCTCAATTTACAATAGCAGGCTTAACTCAGCGATATAAAGGAATATCGATCGAAAGCGCATGCATGCATGCATGCACGCAGCACTAACGGCGCATGCATGATGTATGCACTTCCCACCTTTGCTCCGCTCGTCATATTTATATTACGTACTGGTAGGCCTACTCTTATGCAATAACGTCCCCAAAAATGCTTCTGGAATAAATTAAGCGCTTACACGAAAAAAAATTTCATTTTAGGTGACTTACATGTTGCATTTCCTGCCTCGTTTATTCTTGCTTGTTATCTTTTCTGGTTATGACACGAAATGTGCTTTGTTTGAAAAAGCCTCAATGGTGAATTGTAGCCAAGAATTTCTTGTTCCAGAACCATTGTACTGGTGTTATGGCTGGCTATTTACATCTACTTGTTCATCTGCCATTGTTATATCACTCGTCTGGATTTACCGAAAACGAATTGAATATAGTTTCAGCATTTCAATTAAGAAGCTCATAAGAAAAGCATCTTTTTGGAGAATGAACTTCTTTCTTAGTATTGTTTTAATCGAGTACTCGGTAGCATGGCAAATCTTGGACAAATTTCACATTGTTTTATATGCATTCTCCCTGGCGAGATGGTATTCAACAGCACTTGTTATCTATTGTTTAAATTATGTCAATCCAAGTAGGATTGCTAATGAAAAGAAACTGTATTATCGAGTTGGATACTGGCTAACTTTGTTGATGTATTTTGCTGAATCTGCAAGTATTCTCTTGCTGTATCTGCTTAACTCGTCACTTGTCCTACCACCTGTGTTTGATCATACGGGTGGAGATTATCAAGCATTGGTTCTTATAGCTTTTGGATTTAAAGTTGCTTTAAGTTCTCAATGCTTGACATTCTTCTTGGAGAAGATATTCCATGGTGATAAAGATCTATTCTCAGAGCCTGGTGATCCTGTTGAGATCACATAATAATATCTTGAAAACGTGTCATTCGTGGTTATACATCTCTTTATGAAACGAATTAAAATTCATTTAACTCAGAACCATAGGCAACATGAAAGTACAATCGCGTAGGTTTAGAGAAAAGCAATATACTGTTTAATTTAAAATTAAGTATTTTTTAGTGTGATAAAGCGAATGCACACTTAATATAATTATACTTTGGCTTGCCGTCTAAGGGGCTGCCGGTTCATATGATCCCACTTACCGAGACGACTTGCCTACCGAGACGAATATTTCCGTGCGTTCATATGTGATATGGAGTATTTCGTCCCACTTGCCGAGGTGAAATTACAATGTATATACATGTTCTATATTAAATTAGCGTGTGCAAAACTCTACATTTCAATCAAATATTTAGCGATTTTAGTGTTTTTCTTCGTAAACATACAACTAAGTAAAAAGACTTGTTTGACTTTATCCCGGTAAGCGGGCTGGCGTGTTCATATGGAAAATTTTTCATCCCGCCTACCTATGATCTCGGCAAATAGTCAAGCGAGATCTCGGCAAGCGGGCCAGCTCGCTTTCTCATATGAACACAATGCAAAATTTTGTAGGAAAATAACTAGGCGGCGAGATCATCGGTAAGCGAGACGTCCCGGTAAGCGGAATGATATGAACAGGCCCTAATATATACGTGCATGGATAAAATCCTGTCAAAATCGTTAATAAATTAGTGCTTAATGTGAATAATGAAACCGTTATTATAACTTGGGCAAATGCGGATTGAGAGAGATACACTGAATCGACCTTTTCCGTCGACGTTCGATACTAGAAACCCGCGTATACGATATTTTGGGACGGCAACGCGACGACGACGGCCAAAACAAACTCCTTCAAATAAATGGTAGTAAAGATAATTCGTCGTATATTATCAATCGTATGAATTTAGTACAGTCTTAGAAGTTGAAGAGTGAAGACATGGGTTTTATGGTTGGGAAGAGTTCTGCAGTGAACCCATGCATGCAGTTAATTTGAAGTATACTTTGCACTGTGCACTTGTTGCGACTTGAAATGCAGCCGTTGTATCAAGACTTGAAAATCTGTGATTTGGCGTTGTAAACAGAGCGAGGACAATGTCTAAATTATTCGTATATTGTAATTATTCAATTCTTTTCAATGTATGATTAGTATTGCTAACCGTTGCCGTCGCGTTGCCGTCCTAAATCGTAAGGTCCCTAATAACTTCCCGACGAAGGGTCTTCGGCTTCGCTCGAAACGTCGACGTTCTGCTTATATTTTCAGGTAATTGTAGTAGTTGTATACAGCTATTTCAATTAAGGTTTGCCACGAGCAAAGCGGAAAAGTCGAATACGAGCGCGAAAGGCTGCTGGGAATCGCTAACAAATTAAGAGGCAATTTTTTTCTATGTCACGTATTTACAATGAAAAGTGTTCAAAACCTAAAATCTTTTTGGCGTTCCTCTCAAAATTACTTTGTTTTAGCTTTATTCTCTAGTTTATAGAGTTAGCCACCATTTTAAATGCATCTGCCGGTTGAGAAACATAAAATAATAGTTAAAAATTGTCAATTTTAAAGCATCATTGATAATTGCATTTTAATAACCATACAAGCAAAACTTACTGAACTTCAGACATCATTTTTTCTTTGGCGTATCATCTAAAATCTCTTCATTTTAGCATTATTTTACAGATAAAGCACTAAACATACTTTTTAAGTTTGCTTGCCGATTGAGAAACGTATCGAAAAATAAAAATTTTGAATTTAGTCATAACCTCAAGTGATATATTATACACATTAGTTTTGAGCGCGTGTTACGTAACGTACAAAAAAACTCCTCTTAATGAATTTACATAGGCATAGCGATTCCCAGCAGCCTTTCGCGCTCGTATTCGACTTTTCCGCTTTGCTCGTGGACAACCTTAATTGAAATAGCTGTATATCTCCATCCGCGTCTATCTTGTTATTGTTGCTAGTACACCAGCACAGTCCGTTCGAGATTATTACCTGCATCGGGGGGCAGTTGTTCCGCAAAACCCGATTACTGATCTCAGTCCTGGGTTAACGAAAAACTTCAAAGCAACATTTCAAACAACATGGAAGTATTTTTCCAGAAATCTTGTCGGGACCATGCAATAACGGTTTGAAACAAACGCGCATGGGGAACTGACAAAACCCGAAACAACAAGTTAAATTTTAACCCATGTATTTTCATGTATGCAGAATTACTAGCGCTAACCCAGCTTTGAACATCACCTGGGTTTGTGTATTTGTTTGCCTGTTAGCCGCATAAAAGATAAAAAGTATTAATAATACGAAAATTTGTAGGGCTAATGGTACCTACTACCATATGCCAGGGGCAAACCCATTAATTTTTTGTTCAATTTAATTGTACCAAAATTTATGCATGATACTTGACTCGACAATCACTGGTGGAGGTATGCAGTTTTTGAGTGCCCTCTAGTTACTCGCTGGGGCACCTGTGCCCCGGGCGAGTATAGGTTTCGGCACACATTTTTGGTGGATGTCAGATCGTCGTTGATAGCCACAAAATAGAATATTAATGAGCTGCCTATAAAACTCAATTTCTCCTTTTCAAAATGGCGGCCTTTCGTGGAGTGGGCAAAATGTTTCAAACAATTTCGTTAAAATTTTCAACGAATTGTACCTGTTTTGTATAGATTTTGCATTGCCGTCTAATGCTGGACATTCTTGCTAGTTTAGTTAACGCATTTTTCTTGGTGTGCACGACTCTGAAAATGCGAAATTTGGATCTTTGAATTCCCGTGCACGATCATAATATACTGAATCGGAATTTAAACGAGCCAATTTCAAGGTAAAAGGTTTAAACTTAAACTACACAACGTAGTTTTAATAGATAACTACTTTATGAGAAGGATATTGGTGTCATATCAATATAAAATTTATGCAACAACAGTCCCTAATAGTTAGCTGCATGTGGAGGCGTGAAAACTGTAGTGTGAAATATGATATTGTATTTGTAATGCCTAATGGGGCCATATGATAAAAATAACATAAGAAATTGTACTTACGGATGTCAAATGTATTCCAGCGATTTATAGCCTTTGAAAAAAGAGCATTCCAGCGATTTATAGCCTTTGAAAATCAAGCGAAATTGAATTGTTGACAAATCGCTCGCAGTACATACGTATTGTTGACAAATCACAGACGCAGCCATCACTCGCAGTACGTTTGTCCTTGTATTTGTAATGCCTAATGGCGCAATAAGGATAAAAATACCACCGCTCGATTCAGCGTAAGAAATTGTACTTACGAATGTCAAATGTATTACTAAACAACAGTATTCTAGCGATTTATGACTTTTGTCTTTGAAAGCGAAGCGAAATTGTATTGTTGTGAAATTGCTCAAAATTATTAAACTAATTTAATTATAAAAAATGCAGTACGTTTGATCCTTGCTAACTTTTGGTATCGTTGGTTTGGCATCGTTGGAAATGTGAAAAAGCATCGTTGGAAATGTGATTTATCACGTATTATTTTACAACTAAAAGGGCACTTCTGCCCCCCCTGCCCCCCCTAGCAAAAGGCAAGGGGGGCAGCCGCCCCCCCTGCCCCCCCAGTTCCGGCGTCCCTGAGTGTACATGTGCCATTGGGACACATGTACAATACTCAAAAATATAATCTATGTCAAATACTGTTGCTAAACATGATAAGTTTGATTTTAAATATAGTTCACCAAATACTATTCTATATAAGCGGAATTTGCATGTTTTCCGTGTAAAGGACAAAAGCACAGTATGTGTTGCCTGAACAGAAGAACAATAGGGCCATTTATATTTATAAGAATTTTGTACCTTTTATACCACAAACTCGCGTCTTACTTAAGTCGCGTCTTATGTAAGTCACGTCTTATTTTGTTCCGTATAAATGATACGGAACAAAATAAGACGTGACTTACATAAGACGCGACTTAAGTAAGACGCGAGTTTGTGGTATAAAAGGTACAAAATTCTTATGTAAGACGCGTCTTGGATAAGACGCGTCTTACATAAGAACAGGACTTTTTAATAGCTGTTTTTATTGAAGTCGCGTCTTAAATAAGAAATTTTAGACAAAAAGTCTAACTACACATGCCAGAAACTTGAAACAACGTAAAATTATTAGCCTTGCATATTAAAACAAAAACAACCAAAACAACATTATAGCTGTAGCAAATAAATAAGACCAAAGCCGTAAAGAACCATTTATGCGATAACTCCACTTATTTAAGTCGCGTCTTATGTAAGTCGCGACTTATTTTGTCACGTATAAATGGCCCTAATGTTTCTTCCGCAGGAAAAATATACAAATTCCCCTTATACAATTAGTCTAAATTATGCACAATGCATATCACAAAAACAAATCAACAAAACCAACCGCCTCGCACCGTTCTAAGAAAAGACCCTGGGAAAGACCTTGGCCAACCGAGGCCAGTGTGAACGCCTGAGCTGGCGTCTTCGTTTCTGTAAATTTTTCAGTTTTTCTGTAGCGGTTACCGAGCAAATATGGTGACAAAATTGTACAGCCCCAGCCCCAGCGAGTTAACGCCCCATAGAGCGTCTTGTTTCAATTTAAAACAGGGCCTTTTTTAAGGATTTTCCCGGGGGGGGCATTTTTTGAAAAGGGACCTTTCTGTGAGATAGTATATTAGAGGAGGATAGCAATGGCTCAAGGTCGCGTGTGTGGCCGAAATACCACGCATGAATAGTCTATATTTGAAATTTGAAGCCCGGAAATGCCATTTCCTGCATTCTGAGCATCCAAATTTGCTCTAAAATTTATGCTAACTATACTTGTATTTGAAATAAAAGAAGGAAAAAACGCACAAAAAGTAAAAAATAATTACTAATTAGAGGGGGATAGGAATGACCAAAGGCCACGTACATGTGCATGTGGCCGGAGGCATACTCTCGCAGAAAATGTTTGAAATTTGAGGCCCGGAGATGCCATTTCCAGCATTCTGAGCATCCAAATTTGCTCTAAAATTT